TTGAGCCCCAGCACCACTTCTGATTTTCTGTTTGTTAACTGGAAAAGAGTTTCATGGACTTTCCTACCCGACCTGGCTTTGAACTGTGATCCTCAAATCTCAGTCTCCTAAGTAGCTAGGCATGAGCCACCAGTGCCTAGCCTCTGTTCTTAATTTACCTTTTCTTTTTTTTTTGGAGAAACCATTATTTCTTTTTTTTCTTTTTTGTCAGTCTTGGGGTTTGAACACAGGGTCTGGACACTGTCCCTGAGCTCGTTTTGCTCAAGGCTACCACTCTGCCACTTGAGCCACAGCACCACCTCTGGCCCTTTCTGTTTATGTGGTACTGAGGAATGGAAACCAGGGCTTCATAAATGCTAGGCAAGCACTCTACCACTAAGCCACATTCCCAGTCCCCATTAGATTATTTCTCAGTTTTAGTTTTCTCAAATAGAAAATTAGGGACTAGAGTAAGAGTACTCAGATAATCTCAAAGGTTTTTATTCTATTTTTTTTTTTTTTTTGTCAGTCATGGGGCTTGAACTCTGGACCTGGGCACTGTCCCCCTCAGCTCTTCAGCCCAAGGCTACCAGGCTAGCACTCTACCACTCGAGCCACAGTACCACTTCCGGTTTTCTGGTGGTTAATTGGAGATAAGAATCTTATGGACTTTCCTGCCCAGCTGGCTTTGAACCATGATCCTCAGATCCCAGCCTCCTGAGTAGCTAGGATTACAGGCGTGAGCCACTGGTGCCCAGCAAGGTTTTTATTCTAAAATACCAAGTAAATTTTAAGAATTGGCCTTTACTTAACCTTTGCACATTCCTGAACCCACTCCATACTCTTTAAAGCTTGTGTCCCTGGATGCCACATCACAGTGTTTACATGAGTGCTCTTTAGTATACCCACGCCTGTCTGCTCCCACCAGTGTCATTACCATCCCAGTCATTGTGTTTGTCTAAAACTATTTATGTTGGTTTTCCTAGTCATTGTAATTGTGTAATTTAATTAAATGTTACATTAACTATGGAAATCAGAGGACAAAAATTATGAAAACTACATAAATTTAAAAAGAACTGAATAAAGATAAGTTTTCTAGCTGGGTACTGTGGCTCACATCTGTAATTTTAGCTACTCAGGAAGATGAGATCTGAGGATCGTGGTTGGAAGCCAGCCCAGGCAGGAAAGTCTGTAAAACTCTTTTCCAATTAAATCATAGAAAAAGATGGAAGTAGAGCTATGGCTCAAGTGGTAGAGTGCTAGCCTTGATCAGAAGGAGCTCAGGGGTAGTACCTGGGCCTAGAGTTCAAACTTCAGGACCAGCCTCCCCGCAAAAAAAATAGCCAGGCACCAGTGTCTTATGCATCCTCTCTACTCAGGAGACTGAGATCTGAGGATCGTGGTTCAAAGCCAATCCTGGCAGGAAATTCTTTTTTTTTTTTTTTTTTTTTTTTGGGTTCAGTCGTGGGGCCTGAACTCTGGGCCTGGGCGCTGTCCCTCAGCTCAAGGCTAGCGCTCTACCACTTGAGCCACAGCGCCACTTCTGGCTTTTTTCTTTTTGCTTAAATGGTGCTGAGGAATCCACCCCAGGGCCTCAGGCATGCAAGACAAATACTCTACCACTGAGCCACCTTCCCAGCCCAGAAATTCTTTTTTTTTTTTTTTTTATGGCAGAGTGCCAGTCTTTTTTTTTTTTGGGGGGGGGGGGGGTCCGGTCATGGGCCTGAACTCTGGGCCTGGGCACTGTCCCTCAGCTCTTCAGCTCAAGGCTAACACTCTATCATTTGAGCTATAACGCCACTTCTGGCTTTTTTTTTCTGCTTATGTGGTGCTGAGGAATTGAACCCAGGGCCTCATGCATACAAGGCAAGCTCTCTATCACTGAGCCACCTTCCCAGCCTCCCAGCCCAGAAATTCTTTTTTTTTTTTTTGGGTCCGGTCGTGGGGCCTGAACTCAGGGCCTGGGCGCTGTCCCTGTGCTCTTCAGCTCAAGGCTAGCACTCTACCACTTGAGCCACAGCGCCACTTCTGGCTTTTTTCTTTTTGCTTATGTGGTACTGAGGAATCGAACCCAGGGCCTCATGCATGCAAGGCAAGCGCTCTGCCACTGAGCCACCTTCCCAGCCCCCCCAGCCCAGAAATTCTTATCTCTAATTAAATCACAGAAAAAGCCAGAAGTGCTGCTGTGGCTCAAGTAGTAGACTACTAACCTTGAGCAAAAGGAGCTCAGGGACAGCACCCAGGCACTGAGTGAGTTCAAGCCTTAGGATTGGTTTAAAAAAAAAAAAGACAAGTTTTCTGGAAAAAGTATATTATTGAATTAGATAAAAAGATAGGGGAACTCTACACGTAGTCTTTTGAGGAACCTCCACACTGCTTTCCAGAGTGGTTGAACAAGTCTACACTCCCACCAACAATGTAGTAGGGTTCCTTTTTGGCCATATCCCTTCCAGCATCAGAATTAGGTTTCTTTCTTTTTTAAAAAATTATTATTATTTTTTTGGGTCTGGTCGTGGGGCCTGAACTCTGGGCCTGGGCGCTGTCCCTCAGCTTTTCAGCTCAAGGCTAGCACTCTACCCCTTGAGCCACAGCACCACTTCTGGCTTTTTTTTTCTTCTTATGTGATACTGAGGAATCGATCCCAGGGCCTCATGCATACAAGGCAAGCGCTCTACCACTGAGCCACCTTCCCAGCCCTGATTTACATTTCTTTTATGTCTATTGACCATTCTTATTTCCTCTTCAGAGAAGTCTCTCTTTAAGTCTTTTTTTTTTTTTTTTTAATTTTTTTTTGGTCCAGTTGTGGGGCCTGAACTCTGGGCCTGGACGCTGTCCCTCAGCTCTTCAGCTCAAGGCTAGCACTCTACCACTTGAACCACAGCGCCACTTCTGGCTGTTTTCTTTTTGCTTATGTGGTGCTGAGGAATCGAACCCAGGGCCTCATGCATGCAAGGCAAGCACTCTACCACTGAGCCACCTTCCCAGCCCTCTAAGTCTTTAGCCCAATTGTTAATTGGGCGGTTGTTTCTTTGAGGATTTGTTGGTGGGGGATTTAAGTTTTTTTTGAATTCTAAATATATTTTAGATATGAGACCCTTGTCCATTGTATGGCTAGTGAAGACCTTCTCCCAATCCTTGGGCTTTCTATTGATCTTGCTACCTATGTCCTTTGCCATGCAGAAGCTCTGCAGTTTCATGCAATCCCATTTGTCCAGCCTTTCTTTGATTGAGCTCCGCTATGACCCAGCAATCCCCAGTTGTCATTGTATTTGATTCTGGTGTCCTACATCTTGTATATACTTTTTTCTAATTTGGGGAGGGGAAGGGAAATAACAAAATGCTGAAATAAGGTTACAGGATGACCTGTTGTAACAATGAGATGTACAAGACACTATGTTGAAAACGAATTTTACAACTTTGGTGGGGGAAAAGGGTGGTAGGGAAAAAAACAAAGGAGGGGGTAATAATGCTTGATAGGAAATGGACTCATTACCTTGCTCAAGTAACTGTAACCCCTCTGTACAGTAGCTTTACAATAAAGAAATGCAGAAAAATCCCCCTCTCCCCCCAAAAAAGAAAAGGGGATGGGAGTATCTTAAAAATCTGTAAGGGGCTAGGAAGGTAGCTGGGAAGTGGTAGAGCGCTTGCCTTGCATGCCTGAGACCCTGGGTTCAACTCCTCAGCGCCACATATGCAAAAAGAAAGAAGCCGGAAGTGGCACTATGGCTCAAGTGATAGAGATCTAGCCTTGAGCTGAAGAGCTGAGGGACTGTGCCCAGGCCCAGAGTTTAGGCCCCATGACCAGACCCCCCCAAAAAAAATCTATAAGGATTTTAGACCTAGTTGCTTTGAAAGTCTCCAAGTTCTTTTACCACTTTAAATAAGTTGAGCCTGAGCATTGTGGACTAAAGCTGTCCAGAAGGCACATACTATAAGAAATAACAAATGAGGGCTGGGAAGGTGGCTCAGTGGTAGAGTGTTTGCCTTGCATGCATGAGGCCCTGGGTTTGATTCCACCACATAAGCAGAAAAAGCAGTAAGTGGTGCTGTGAGTCAAATGGTAGAGCGCTAGCCTTGAGCTGAAGAGCTCAAAGACGGTGCCCAGGCCAAGCCCCACGACTGACAAAAAAAAAGAATATACTGAATGAATATGCTTTATGGGTTTTGTTCCTTTTTTTGAAATAATTGGTCGTGGGGCTTGAACGCAGGGCCTGTGTGCTATTCCTGAGCTCTTTTGCTCAAGACTAGTTCTCTACCACTTTGAGCCACAATTCCACTTCCAGTTTTCTGGTGGTTAATTGGAGTTAAGACTCACAGACTTTCCTGCCTGGGCTGGCTTCAAACTGTGATCCTAGGCTCACAGGCAGGAGCTACTGGTGCCTAGCTTTCCTTTTTTTCTTTCTGTTTTTAAAGTTTAAGTTAGAGTCTGAAGTTATAGCTCAGTGGTAGAATGTTTGCCTACCATGAACAAGGCCCTAGGTTCTGTCTATATCCTCAGTACTGCACAAAAAGAAAAATAAAAAAATAAATTAAAAAAAATATGATTCACCACTTTAACAAATCAGTTTTGATTAGTAGGCTTAAGGTCCCATCAAGTAAAGAGGGCTTTTTTGTTCTAGGGTCTTCATTATATTGTGGGACTTTTTGTTTTGTTTTGTTTGTTTTTTTGGGTCCGGTCATGGGGCCTGAACTCTGGGCCTGGGCGCTGTCCCTCAGCTCTTCAGCTCAAGGCTAGTGCTCTACCACTTGAGCCACAGCACCACTTCCGGCTTTTTTCTTTTTGCTTATGTGGTGCTGAGGAATCGAACCCAGGGCCTCATGCCTGCAAGGCAAGCGCTCTACCACTGAGCCACCTTCCCAGCCCCTGTAGGGCTTTTTAAAAACATAACAAAACAATCATCCTATTGTAGATCTTAGTAGTACTTTTAACTTGTACACATTCTCTTTGCCTAAGAACTGTGTAAAACACTTAATTTTTCATCTCATTTAAAAATACAATTCTTACTATGTTTTCTTCACAGAACATTCAGAAGATTCTCGGCCTTGCCCCTTCACGAGCTGCCACCAAGCAGGCAGGTGGATTTCTTGGCCCACCACCGCCTTCTGGGAAGTTCTCTTGACCTCATGCAGAAGAACCCTTTAATTCTTTTCATTCTGTTTAGTCCCTCAATTCAGACTGGCAACTATTTCGTAGCAAGAACCATGGGCAGCCATAGTATTTGAGCCATTTTTTAGTTTTGAATTACTTCTCAGTTTTTTGGATATAATGGTAATGAGAATGGCACCAACAAATAAGATGGTGCTTTTTCTTTTGTAGGTGGATTGATTACTTAAGTTCTGTTGATTTTTTTTTTTTTACATAATCAAAAACAAATATCTTTCTTATTTCGCTTACATACATGTTTTCTGTGGGACTGACGCTCAAGGCTGTGTGTATATGCTATGTGCCAAGGAAGCTGACTCTTACACGCAATTATGAGAGCTTGAAGAACAATTTAGTTTGTATAACTAAACTTAATTAGAACTATTCATTGTGTTTTTTAAAAGCTAAATATATCAATTGAGATCAATAAAGAGCCAAATTTTTAGCTATTTCATATTTATATTGTTTTAAAGTACATATTTTTATTAATCTGAATATCAGGGTAAGAACCAAGAAGAGTTGAAACATTCAGTGGACTCTTTTACTAATACATTCTCATGCGCACAAATCATAGAATAGTGTACAAGTTGGAAGTCAAGAGTGCAGAGGAAAGTGATGATTCAGGAGTTAAAAAATGAAATCCTCAGTAGTTCCTTTCATTCTCTATAATCTGCTGCGTCCTGTGAGTGTTCTGAGATTGTAGTTATATGCAGTTAATCTGACAGAGCTTCCTTTTAGTCACAAAGTCCTGTAGTTCTTGCCTTGCTCCATTGTGAGGTATATGATTGATACTCCTCCTATAATCAATGGAATTAGAAGCCCATTGTGGATTAATAATTCTATCAACAAATATAAATACTCAACAATATTCTCACTAGATGAGGGTATTAGGTGATAAAGAACAATTTGCAAGATAATTACTGTTAAACAACACTTCATCAGCAACCATAAAGTCTAGAAGATAGTTAAATACAATCTTCAATGTGCTCAGGAACATAAATATCAACTTAGGATTTTGTGTACAGCTAAACCATAAGTTTTATCTTTAAAGCTGGGTGCTGGTGGCTCATGCCTATAATCCTGGCTACTCAAGAAGCTGAAATCTGAGGACTGAGCTTTGAAGCCAGCCCAGACTTAGAGGCTCTTATCTCCAATTAAGCACCACAAATGCTGGTAGTAGAGTTGTAGACTGCTGGCCTTGAGCACAAAAGTTCAGGGACAGTGTCCAGTCCCTGAATTCAAGCCCCAGGACTGGCACCAAAAAAAGAAGTAATCTATAAGTAGTTGCCCAAAGGGGCTTCAGTTAAACATAGCGGTTTATGAGTATAATGCGTCTTGATCATTCCTTTCATTATTCTCCCCAATCTGTTTGAACCCTACCCAATCCCTCAACCCAAAATGTTAAGGATAAAATAAAGACATTTTCAGGCATACAAAATCTAAAGGCACATTTCAGTGATGGAAAAGAAGACCCACTTCAAGGGAAAGTGTGGAATACAAGAAACCATGGTCAAAAGAGCAAAGAGACAAACGGCACATGGTCTCCCTGATTAAGTGGATGTTAAATCCAGAATGTAAGGTATTATGACAAAGTAAACAAGACTAGAGAATCAAAGGACCTCTACTCATCTGGTCAAATCATTACTAAGTGACCCCATGCTGCTGACTACATTGGAGGGAAACTAGGAGGACACAGAAACTGAAGGAAACGGGGAAACATACAACAGTGGAACCCATCAGCTGCACTTGACATTGATCAAAATGAACTAAGCAACTCAATGGCAGCGATGGGAGGGAGGGAATGAGTGGGAAAGAGGGAACAGCTGACACGAAGCAAAAGGAAAGAAATTACATATCACCTGATGTGGAAGAAATAACTGTATTGTCAAAGCTCATAGAACTCATAAACTTTATAGACTACGATAAAGGCAATTTGCCTTTAGGATGTGTTTGTGACTTTAACTAAGTATCACTATTCCAGAATACTGTGAAATTTGTGAAATTTAAAAAAAAAAAATTGCAAAAAAAAAAAAACCCATGGTCAATACAGAAACTGATGAAATATATGGATGGGTGTGTGTGTGTGTGTGTGTGTGTGTGTGTGTGTGTGTGCGTGTGTGTGTGTGTGTGTGTGTGTGTGTGTGTATTCACAAGCCCCAGCACTGTGCTTGAACAAAGGGCCCTGCACTCTTACTTGGCCTTTTCTCTCAAGGCTGGTGCTCTACCACTTTAGTCATGCTTCCAGTTTCTGCATTTTTGCTGATTAATTGGAGATAAAAGAGCCTTGAGGATTTTGTAATTACTGTTCTTGGACCTATCTAATAGATGAAGCAGCTAGGTTGGAGAGGTTGAATAACTGATAGAACATCACAAAAACAGGTTGGCAGAATCAGGATTTGAACCCAAGTAGTAAAGCCGTGTAGTCAGAGAAGCTCTGTTATTTTATGGCCTCCCCATGCTTCTCTTCCCATCATCTCCTGGTCCTGGGGCTTGAAGTCAGGGCCTGGGCATTGTCCCTGAGTTTGCTTAAAGCCAGCGCATTCTCACTTCAGCCACGTTCCACTTCTGGCACTTCTGGTAGTTTGTTGTAGATAAGAATCTCACTGACTGGGGCTGGGAAGGTGGCTCAGTGGTAGAGTGCTTGCCTGGGGCCCTGGGTTCGATTCCTCAGTACCACATAAGCAAAAAGAAAAAAGCCGGAGGTGTCACTGTGGCTCAAGTGGTAGAGCGCTAGCCTTGAGCTGAAGAGCTGAGGGACAGCGCCCAGGCCCAGAGTTCAAGCCCCATGACCGACAAAAAAAAAAAAAAGAATCTCACTGACTTTACTGTCTGGACTAGCTTTGAACCGCTGCTCTCAGATCTCAGCCTCCTGAGTAGCTAGGATTACAGGCATAAGCCACTGATGCCCAGCTGGTTTTGTTTTGTTTTTTTCTCTCTCTTATTTTGCTTTTTGATGATACTGAAGATTAAACTCAGGGCCTTCTGCTTATTTTATCAACCGAACCACACTTCCAACTGTTTTGTCTTTTTGATATGAGCTTTAAAAAAGCAGGTGAAACCACACACACACACACACACACAAGAATATATATATATTTTTAAACCTTTTGGCTTCTAGGGTGTCATCCTAGAAGATGCCTCCCTGTGGCTGCCATGGCACCATGTCACAGGTGACAGAGCAACCTGGGCCACTAAGCAAAAGAGATTGAGCCTGGAGATGGAGCCCAAGGTGGCAGGCAGATGATGGCATTCCGGAACAAAGGCCTGTGCAAGATTCTGCTCAATACCATTTTACAGTATTGACAATAGCTGGGCATAGTGGTTTAATTTGGCTCCTAAATTCATTTGAATCGCCTTAGCTGTCTTGATATTATCCTTGCTAAGTACTATAAGGTGAGTCCGGCATTATCTTTTACATTTCCTGCCTGATTTGAAAGCAGACCTTTCCAAAGAAGTTTGACTCCATGGGGCCTACAATGTAAAACTTTAATTTGGATCCTAATGGGACCCATTAGCCCATATGTAAAATGTCTTTATCTAAGATAAATTCTAGTCTATAAAGACTAAATGATGATCACATTCTCTATTCCATTTTTTAAAACCCTCATTTCTGTATCACTAAGTTTATATTAAGAAGACATTTCAAACCTTAGAAGAAATTTAAGACTCAGCTGTCACCAGATGGGGAAGGAAGAGGGTAAACAAAGGTCTACTAACATGATATTTCAAATGCTGTCTTCTGTACTAAACTCATGCTTTTAAATCTCAAAACTTATATTTGGATCCAAGGTGCATCTGGCAACTCAAGAACTTCAATGTAATAATCAAAGGCCTTATTTTTAAAAATATACAAGTGATTTTTTTGGGGGGGGGGCAGTCCTGGGTGCTGTCCCTCAGCTCTTCAGCTCAAGGCTAGTGCTCTACCACTAGAGCCACAGCACCACTTCAGATTTTCTGACTGGTTTATTAGAGATAAGAGTCTGGCGGACTTTCCTGCTCAGGCTGACTTATAACCATGATTCTCAGATCTCAGCCTCCTGAATAGCTAGGACTATAGGCATGAGCCACTAGTGCCCAGCTCCTGAGCTTCTTTTCCTCAAGGCTAGCACTCTACCACTTGAGCCACAGTGCCATTTCTGGCTTTTTCTGTTTATGTTGTACCGAAGAATCAAACCCACAGCTTCATGAATGCTAGGCAAGCACTCTACCAATAAGCCACATTAACAGCCTGTGATTTTTTTTAAAAAAAATTTATAATTATTCCAACCATTTTCTGAACAGCCAATTTAATCTTAAGCAGATGTCATATCGAGAAAGTTGAAAAAGCCGGGTGCTAGTGGCTGATTTTTGAGGATGACAGTTCAAAGCCATCCCAGGCAGAAAAGTCTGTGAAATTCTTATCTCCATTTAACCACAGAAAAAGCCAGAAGTGGCACTATATCTCAAGTGGTAAAGTATTAGCCTTGAGCAAAAGGAGCTCGAGCTCAAGGGACAGCTCTCTGGCCCAGAGTTCAAACCAAAGGACCAGCAAAATAATAATAAGAAGAAAGTTGAAAAGAAACTGCAACCTGCTTGATCTCATGTAAGGTTCCATTCTAGGAAAAAATTACATTTTGATCTTATTTCAGTGCAGTGGTTTTCACATTTTTGTTTACCACCTCAGTGGGCCAGGGTATAATGCATTTATTCAACCCACATACACAGGTTTTTTTTTTTTTTTTTGGGGGGGGGGTCCAGTCGTGGGCCCTGAACTCTGGGCCTGGGCGCTGTCCTTCAGCTCTTCAGCTCAAGGCTAGTGCTCTACCACTTAAGCCACCGCACTACTTCCAGCTTTTTTTTTCTGCTTATGTGGTGCTAAGGAATCGAACCCAGGGCCTGGAGCATGCAAGGCAAGTGCTCTACCACTGAGCCACCTTCCCAGCCCTACATACACAGGTTTTGTGATATATTTTCTTCTTATATATATTTGGATATTTCATTCTAACTTGCTTTTTGAAAAATGTGGTAGCAATCTGCTAAGGTTACCACCCATTAAATCCTGGTTGATAAGAGGGTAGAGGGACTAGAGAAGTCGAATAAGTGTTTTCTTTCTCTCTGGAACTCAATTAGAAAATTAGCCAGGCATGGTGATACATCCTAGTAGCTGTCACAGTTATCCGAGACTAAGCTGGAAAAATTACTTAAGCCCAAGAGGTAGAGACCAACCTGAATAACACAACTAGACTCTAGATCAGAAAGAAAGAGAGAAGGGATAGAGAAAGATGGGGTGCAGGGGGGAGAAAGAAGGAAAAAGAAGGGAGGGAAAAGAAAGTATTTGAAGTCATTTGGACATCAGGGCTGAAATTAGATATGGTAGACTTAAGACTTTTTTCTTTTTTTTGGTCGGTCATGGGGCTTGAACTCTGGATCTGGGCGCTGTCCCTCAGCTCCTCAGCTCAAGGCTAGCGCT